TGGGCCGTACAGGTTCGCGCCGGGGCTGGGAAAGGGTGGCGGGGCCGCAGGGAGGCGGCGGGGCCAGCAGGTAGGTGGCGGGGCCGCAGGTAAGGGCGGCGGGGCCGCAGGTAAGGGCGGCGGGGCCGCAGGTAGGTGGCGGGGCCAGCAGGTAGGCGCCGGGGCCTCAGGTAAGGGCGGCGGGGCCGCAGGGAGGTGGCGGGGCCGCAGGTAGGCGCCGGGGCCTCAGGTAAAGGCGGCGGGGCCGCAGGTAGGTGGCGGGGCCAGCAGGTAGGCGTCGGGGCCGCAGGTAAGGGCGGCGGGGCCGCAGGGAGGTGGCGGGGCCGCAGGTAGGCGCCGGGGCCTCAGGTAAGGGCGGCGGGGCTGGCAGGTAGGCGCCGGGGCTGCAGGTAAGGGCGGCGGGGCCGCAAGTAGGCGCCGGGGCCTCAGGTAAATGGGCGGCGTCAGGGCCGCAGGGCGGCGCGAGGGCCGTAGGGCGGCGGATCGGGGCCGGGAAAGGGCGGCGCGAGGGCCGCGGGGTAGGCGACGAGGCCGCAGGGCGGCGGGTCGGGGCCAGGAAGGGCGGCGCGAGGGCCGCAAGGTAGGCAACGGGGCCGCTAAGGCAGCTGATCGGGGCCGCAAGGGCGGCGCGACTGGGTCGAGAAAGGGGAGTGCGACTCAGGCTAGGGCTGAGCGCGCTCCGGGCAGGGAAAAAAAATATCGAGTTGGTGGGCCCTAGGAACAGTTCGCACGAGGGAACCTGCTCGATACCATGAGAAAACTGAAACGAGAATGAATGAATTATGAAACAGTTAGGTACAAGTACTAACCCTAATTGGGTTGTACCCCTTATGGGCTACCCCACTACAGCCTACACAAATGTATAAGCTATAATGTTCTGACAGGTTGGCGCGGCAAATTGCCCTGCCTCGTTTTAACTACAATGCCTACAGCTACAAACGACAAGCTAACACTTATAAAAAAAACTAGATAGCGTCATTTCCCTATGCACGCTTAGCAGGCTTTCTGGCCTTGGCAGCATTGAAGATCCTGTGCACTTCTGCCCACTCCACAGGATAGTCTAGCATCTTCACAGTCATCAGCTGATCTAGCTTAACATCACTAAGAGCAGCCCTGTCCCTTGATTTTATTATGTTCTACCTACTGAAGCCCCTTTTGCACTCAACAGTGCTAAGGGGCAGGACAGCAAGTGCACGCCACAAGTGTACGAGGGTGGGGTAATCATCCCTCCAGTCTGAGGTGCGTAGCACGTTAGTAAGGGCTTGCTGGAAAGTCATGTCCTTGAACTTCTTGAACATTGTTACAGCAAGGAGCTCCAACTCCAGCTGACACGTTTGTACGTGACGCCTGCGGGTGGTGGGGTGGGCTTAGGAGAAATAAGTGAAACAATGAAGCACCTATGATAATGACACCGATGGGTGTCATAACCATTCACGATCATTTGCATTCTTACGTACCAGGCAACTTCTCGTTGAACATGTCAAGGAGTTCGTACAAGTGGGCGTTGAGCCAGGGTTCAGGGTTTAGGGTTTGGCATGAAGAGTTTTGCACCTTCGAGATGCTTCAGGCCGCCAAGCCGGCAACCCAGCTTTGTGATCAACTCCTGCGCAAACTGCTGCCCCAGCTTGATGCATGATTCCAGGTCCGTCCCCATGCCTTCTCCAATGGGGTCTTCATGCAGCACGTCATTGATGGTGCACGCGTTCCCTTGCTTGTCGAGGCCCTGGATTGTGATCTCATGCTTGTCAGGGCTGCCGTGCTTCTTGAGAAAAGCGTGCAGGTGCTTGCTCTTCGGGGTCCCATAATCTGGGCGCTTCTCCACGTAATGTTGCGCCAGCTTCAGCTTCAGTTTATCGATGAGGAGCTTCACCTCGCCGAAGTCCACCTGCTGATGAGCCAAGGAAGGAAAGTTAATAAAGAGCTTTAAAAACAATGCAAAAACATAGACCATGATGCAAACTTACCACCAGCCTTTGTAACGCCATGTTGAGGGTGTTTAGCATCTCCAGCACGTCGACGAGGAAGAAGAGCATGAACTAAAACTTGAAACTTGTGCCGATCTTGTATGCGGCTTGGTCCTCTTTGTGCCAAAGCCAGAGGAGGATAGGCAGCACTTCGCGAGTACAACCCTTCTAGGGTTTGCTATTTGTATCCTCATTCTTGCTAGTGCAACCCTCTCTTTTGCCTAAACTGTTCTTGCCTAGCTAGGGCTTTCCTAGCTATGGCTCCTAAGACTACTGCTTCTCTTCACAAGGTGTACAGCGAGGCGCCGTCGGCTTTGTCGACTGGTATGTTTCCAAAAAACTACACCTCCGGCTCCTCGTTGCGCTCGAAGTGTCCGTGCTCTGATCGAATGAGAGCCCGAACCATGGCGAGGCTTGTACGTCTGCCAGCTGGCGCCCTTGGAGATAGCTTGCTAGCGTTGAAACGAACTCGCCGAAGGCGTATCTGCTTAGGTGCAAAAGCAGATTGTTAGATTCTATAATGGTAACAAACAGAAATAACAGCGCATTACCTTGAATAGTATCGCCCGTATGCCTCTTCATTGGTCATGTCTGCGCAGCCCTGCTCAGCCATGAACTTAACAAGAAGCGTGTAGAGCATGATTGGTGCATCATTTCGTGAACACCAGTAAGCTGCCTGAAGACGTTTCACCACCCTGCAGGTCAGCGGCTCAGCGCTTGGGAGTTCCAAGATACTGCGTTGTTGCCTCTCAGTGCCCCTAGCAATCCTCTTGGCTACCACAACAGCAAGGTGTAGCCTCGTGAATCCATGGCCTCTGAGGCTCCCCACCTGAAAATCTCGCACTCCGATGCCAAGAGGTCCAAACGGAAACTTACTGTTCTTAGCATGGGCTTTGCAGATGGTACACTTCATACCGTACATGTGTTGCTCGTCGTCGTACTCGAGCACTAGCCACTTGAACGTTTGCTTCCACCCAGCATTCCAATTCTCGACAGTTTCTTCTCCAAGGCTGGGACATCCTTGCGTTCCGCGCCATTATCCACAGCAGGAGCGGGCGTGTCATCCACCATTGATACCTTCCTCGAGCGCTTACGAGGAGGAAGGTGTGGTCTCGACCACGTCCGTCGCGTCTGACGCATGCGCTGGCCGGGAGTGGAAGAAGCTTCACTGGCGCGACGAGACACGCGATCGACTTGCTGCACTTTGACCTTGTGGAAGTTCTCGTGTGCGCCATCACCAGTAGCCTCGTTCTCACTATTAGAATCTAAGGCTTCGGGCGATGTAGAGAGGGGAGGAGAGTTGAAAACTCGGGGAACTGGGACGGTTGATGCTGTACGTGCCTCAACTTTGTCATCACTAGAAAACTCCATTTCTGGGAGGGCTGCCATGATGCGTGACTGTGAAACATCATGGACTTTAAAATAGGCAATGCCTAGTGTGAGAGCACGAATGGATGGATGGATCATCGAAGATATTAGAGCAGAAAGTTGAGGGAGGGAAGGCTGTCATGGCACGTTCCCTCTCTCTACTCGTCTCGTGATATCGTCGTGGAGTACGAGGCGCACTGCACGACGGGGATCTGAGAGGTGTTTTAGAGCTGCTATGCTGCTGATTCATGCTGGCACACTGCACGACGGGTCACGCACGGGGATCTGAGATGTGTTTTGCTGCTGCTATGCTGATTCATGCTAAAATCTGTGTGTCCTATGGCAAGAAAGCTAAGTTGTGATTGGCGCGAGCACAAGTTTGGGTGGGGTGGACTTGAATTCGTGGCCCAACCACGAATCTGCAAATGTGCCAGGTTGGATTCAACTAGGGTAGAAACGAGGGGGAGGGGGGAGTGTAGGAGTTGGGAGGGGTGGGGTGGGCTCGAAAGATTCTGTTCCAGGGCTCACTTAAAATCAACTCTTTACACACCAGGCCTACACCCAAAATCAGCTCTGTAAGTAATCAGGGCCAAAAAAATTCCAACCCATCAATTTCAGCTTTCAAGGGCAACCCAACCCTTGAATTCAAGGTCCAGCAGGGCAAACGCTTCGCAATCGACAACCCTCAGTACTCAGTAGTGCTGGCTCCTATTGCGTACTGGAATGTTCTTTATTTGATATCACAACAAAAGGCATGAACAAATCGTTATGCGAAGCGTTTCCGTAACGATAATGCGCTCGCGAAGAGGTGCCCTGTCGGGCCTGATGCCGAGGTTGGGAAATGTCGAAGCGTAGGGCCGGGTCGCGGGTTACCAGCCAAGCCGGGTGGTTTGGGCGCTATGGTCGTTTTGACAGGAATAGTGCCGAGGCAAGTGTCGCGAGGTGGCAACGGGCTACTGTTGGGTGTACAGTGGAGGGAATAGTTGTGTACGCGTTATGCAGTTGTTTCGTTACCTATTCCAACATGTTCTGGAACAAAGCCAAGGCCAACACCAATTCTTCGTGAGTAGTTGTACTTGTGCGAAACAATTGTCGTGATTCTTAGCATACTTCAAGAGCATGTCGTTTCCTCAGAAAGTTTGTTCTCAACAGCCCCGTTGAGTTCGCATGCTCACATCGCTGTGGTAACAAGAGTAATTGAGAAAACACCCAGTTACGAAGGAGAGACAAGTATGGAAGTATCGCTCCCGGTAATCTCGGTCCATTTTTCATGGCAGCGTTTAGTGCCATGCTGACTAACCCGCCCTGATCAAGCTCATGTTACGTGCCTTTCTTAACAAACGCCCGTTATCCAGTTTGCCTCGCTGCAGTCTCAGTATTGCCTCGCTATTGTCACATTCGCTACCTTCACTCCGCCAACAGATCCTCGGAGCGCCCGATATGGCGCCGCCCCGCGCCTTCGCTCCTGCGCGCGCCGTTAGCCTCTTGCTTCCGCGTGCCACGGCGCAGATCGCGGGAAGAATCACCGGCGAGCTACCGGTTTCGTTCGTGCCTGGCAATGCCGTCGCGTCCTTGCGCACAACGGCTCTGCAACCCCAAAACCCACCAACTCCCGCCCTGATCCCTGCGCTTCCCCGCGTGTTCCGCCATTTTTCTTCAGAAAAACATATGTCCCCCGTTCCGCGCAAGCGCCTTCCGCTGGTCGCAGCGGCTCAGGCGCAGCACACTGATGTCAGCTCCGATCTGGCGGAACCATCCCCACCAGGCGCAAGCGGCGCAGAGAGCGCGGAATCCGCCGGGGGGAGAAGTAACTCGTTGGCGGAATTCCCCCCGCTGACATGGCCCATGCGGAGCCACCTATGCGGGGAGCTGCGCGCGGCGGACGAGGGCGCGCGCGTGCAGCTGTGCGGATGGGTGGGCGCGCAGAGGGGGCTGGGCGGAGTGATCTTCATCAGCCTGCGGGACCACTCGGGCATCGTGCAGGTGCGCGGACGGGGGGTGGGAAGGTGAGCGAGGGAGAGCGGGAGAGGTGGGGAAGAGAGAGAGGGAGAGGGAGGTGGGAGCAGTAAAGACGTTGAGCAAAACAGCAGACGATCAGAATAGCAGGCGAGCAGAATAGAAGGCGAGCAGAATAGAAGGCGAGCAGAATAGCAGGCGAGCAGAATAGCAGGCGAGCAGACTAGCAGGCGAGCAGAATAGAAGGCGAGCAGAATAGAAGGCGAGCAGAATAGAAGGCGAGCAGAATAGAAGGCGAGCAGAATAGAAGGCGAGCAGAATAGAAGGCGAGCAGAATAGCAGGCGAGCAGAATAGCAGGCGAGCAGAATAGCAGGCGAGCAGAATAGCAGGCGAGCAGAATAGCAGGCGAGCAGAATAGCAGGCGAGGACGGGATTCAGAAGCACACATGGCGGGCCCCATTCTCTCCGCCATGCCTGTCCACCAGGTCAAGTCAGACCCCGAGCGTTATCCGCACCAGACGCCCACGTGGCAGCGCGGCGCGTGCGCATGGGGTATGTGGTGCGCGTGACAGGGGAGGGAGAAGCAGCCCTCTCGCCCCTTCCGTCATCCCTCCCTCCGCTCCCCGCCACCACACCAGGTCAAGCCTGACCCAGAGCAGCACCACATGCACATGCAGCAGCGCAGCGCATGGACTATGTGGTGCGCGTGGCAGGGGAGAGAGGCAGATGCTCTTTCCCCTCTCACCCCTTCCTCCTATAAGTTATAACCCTCTATTCTCCAACCTCTCACCCCTCTCCCCCCCCCTTCCCCCCCTCCTCCCCCCTCCCCTCCCCCCCCCTCCTCCCCCCTCTCCCCCACCACCCTCCCGGCCGTTCCACCAGGTTAAGTCAGACCCAGAGCATCACCCGGAGGCGCATGCAGCGGCGCAGCGCGTGCGCATGGAATATGTGGTGCGCGTGGCAGGGGAGGTGCGCAGGCGGCCAGCAGACATGGTCAATGGGAAGATGGCCACGGGCGAAATAGAGGTGAGCGGGTGGATCGCGCGTGGGTGTGTGTGTGTGTTGCGTGCCAGCGACAGGGGAGGTTAGGAAATGGTCGGCGGATATGGTGAATGGGAGCATGGTTGTATGGCGTGTGGATGTATGGCGTGTGGCTGTACGTGACTGCCATGCCCATTCTGTAGGTCAGAGTATGAGAGGTCAGGTACCCAACGCAATGTAGTGCAGCCACATATTGCTATGTGGCCTGCGATGCGAGAAGGCCTCTTATTGCTGCCATGCCAAGACACCATGACGCCATGACGCCCATGTGCATGTCTGCCCACATTTTTCGTCATAGCATGACAAGTGCTGTAGAGGTACCTAATGCACTGCCAGGAGCTGTTGAAAGCGAGGGGCTGTTGAAAGCGAGGGGCTGCTGTATGCGAGATGAGAGAGTTGACCATGCCATCATGTCCTGCTGTGCTGTTTGTCCCCCACTCCCCAACCCCGAAGGTCATAGCATCGGAGGTGGAGGTGCTGAATGCGGTGCGCGTGGCGCTGCCCTTCTCGCTGACGTCAGCAGAGGGTGCTGACAACATCAAGGAGGAGGTGCGCCTGCGGTGAGTCACAGCCAAAGGTAGCAGCTACGGTTCAGAGCGGTGGCACCTGGTGCATTGCAATGCAGTGCGGGGGGGTTACGGTATAGCCTGCCTGGAATGGTACCGTGACAGCATAAGGAGCAAGTTCACCTTTAGTTCGGTGAGCCAATGTGATGCAGGCTGGTGCAATGCGGTACTGCAGTGTGGTACAGTGTGGTTCAGCATAGTACCTACCTACTACCTCTGACGAGTCTGGAGGTGCCTCGAAATATATGACTCCACTTCCCCTTCTCCCATGCAGTCCCACTCTGTCCCCTTTCCCTCTGTCACACTCCTCGCATGCTCCCCCCACCCCATGTGCTCCCCCCACCCCATGTGCTCCCCCCACCACATGTGCTCCCCCCACCCCATTTGCTCCCCCCACCCCATGTGCTCCCCCCACCCCATGTGCTCCCCCCACCCCATGTGCTCCCCCCACCCCATGTGCTCCCCCCACCCCATGTGCTCCCCCCACCCCATGTGCTCCACCCACCCCATGTGCTCCACCCACCCCATGTGCTCCACCCACCCCATGTGCTCCACCCACCCCATGTGCTCCACCCACCCCATGTGCTCCACCCACCCCATGTGCTCCCCCCACCCCATGTGCTCCACCCACCCCATGTGCTCCATCCACCCCATGTGCTCCCCCCACCCCATGTGCTCCCCCCACCCCATGTGCTCCCCCCCACCCCATGTGCTCCACCCACCCCATGTGCTCCCCCCACCCGATGTGCTCCCCCCACCCCATGTGCTCCACCCACCCCATGTGCTCCACCCACCCCATGTGCTCCCCCCACCCCATGTGCTCCACCCACCCCATGTGCTCCACCCACCCCATGTGCTCCCCCCACCCCATGTGCTCCACCCACCCCATGTGCTCCACCCACCCCATGTGCTCCCCCCACCCCATGTGCTCCCCCCCATGTGCTCCCCCCACCCATGTGCTCCCCCCACCCCATGTGCTCCCCCCACCCCATGTGCTCCACCCGCCCCATGTGCTCCCCCCACCCCATGTGCTCCACCGACCCCATGTGCTCCACCCACCCCATGTGCTCCACCCACCCCATGTGCTCCCCCCACCCCATGTGCTTCACCCACCCCATGTGCTCCACCCACCCCATGTGCTCCACCCACCCCATGTGCTCCACCCACCCCATGTGCTCCACCCACCCCATGTGCTCCACCCACCCCATGTGCTCCACCCACCCCATGTGCTCCACCCACCCCATGTGCTCCCCCCACCCCATGTGCTCCCCCCCACCCCATGTGCTCCCCCCACCCCATGTGCTCCCCCCACCCCATGTGCTCCCCCCACCCCATGTGCTCCACCCACCCCATGTGCTCCCCCCACCCCATGTGCTCCCCCCACCCCATGTGCTCCCCCCACCCCATGTGCTCCACCCACCCCATGTGCTCCCCCCACCCCATGTGCTCCACCCACCCCTTGTGCTCCCCCCACCCCATGTGCTCCCCCCACCCCATGTGCTCCCCCCACCCCATGTGCTCCCCCCACCCCATGTGCTCCCCCCACCCCATGTGCTCCCCCCACCCCATGTGCTCCCCCCACCCCATGTGCTTCCCCCACCCCTCCCCCCACCCCATGTGCTCCATCCACCCCATGTGCTCCCCCCACCCCATGTGCTCCCCCCACCCCATGTGCTCTCCACACCCCATGTGCTCCCCCCACCCCATGTGCTCCCCCCACCCCATGTGCTCCCCCCACCCCATGTGCTCCCCCCACCCCATGTGCTCCCCCCACCCCATGCGCTCCCCCCACCCCATGTGCTCCCCCCACCCCATGTGCTCCACCCACCCCATGTGCTCCCCCCACCCCGTGTGCTCCCCCCACCCCGTGTGCTCCCCCCACCCCGTGTGCTCCCCCCACCCCGTGTGCTCCACCCACCCCACGTGCTCCACCCACCCCATGTGCTCCCCCCACCCCATGTGCTCCATCCACCCCATGTGCTCCCCCCACTCCATGTGCTCCCCCCATCCCATGTGCTCCACCCACCCCATGTGCTCCACCCACCCCATGTGCTCCACCCACCCCATGTGCTCCACCCACCCCATGTGCTCCTAAGTTGGAATATACGCGTTTAGCGTTTTGTACGCTTGCTGTATAAACGCTAGAGTATATACGCAAACCGCAGTCCTTGAGGGGTCTGGTACGCACAAGAATCCGCTTGCCCGGGCAGGAAAAAAGGTTTCCCCGGGCAGATTTTTGGGGTAAGAGGTGGGGATGGGGGGGTGTTGTAACCCCCATCCCCTTTGTATTAATATGAAAGTTACAGGAAAAAAAACCCTTAAAACTAATCTGCCGCTACAACTTCACCCACCTTAATCATGCTACTACCCCCCCATCCCCTACTCTACTCAGGTCCACCCTCCATCCCCCGCCTGCCGCTCATGCATGGAGCCTTCCATCCACTAGTACTCATCTGCCATCACATCATCCTCCCCCTCCTCAGGTTCCTCCACCTCCTCCGGGACGTTATAGCCAGCCGGAGTGGGGGGGTCCTCGATGTTTCCCTTCACCACCCCCAGCCCTTCAGGGGCCTTGTGCCAGTTGTGCACCTATGATGCGAAAGACGCGTCCTGCGTCCTGGACGCATGCGTCCAGACGCATGCGTCCGGACGCAGGACGCTTCACCAGGACCAGAAAGACGCACCAAAAGACGCAGTCCCGGGCAGGCAAAAAAAACCCCCGGGCAGGCAAAAAAACTTGTTATAGGGCATGGGATGAGGGGGGGGGGGGGGGGGGGGGGGGGGGGGGGGGGGACGTTCCACACTTTCAAGGCAAACTTGGCCCCAACATCAAATTTTCCCCCAAATCTCAAGATTAAGGTGAGTCACGTATTGTCACACACATGTCCCAAGGTCACATACACAGTTTATCGTATCACTGAAGAACACGCATACTATTAAACTACCACCACAGCACTGCATGCAGGCAACCAGTCATCTCATCCCATTAAATATGGTGTTTGGGCTTTTGCGGTTTCTTCTCCACCCCATCACTAGTGAAACGCTGCGGGGGAGACTCGTCCTCGGCATGAACATCCCTAGATGCGTTAGATGACGTAGGGTTGCTTGAGGAAGCCATAATGGAGCTAAGCTATGCTTGTAGGCTAAAACCTCTAGGGTTTTCGAAAGAGAATTGGTTGGGTGGGTGAAATGAGAAATGACTTGGTTGGATTGCTAAATGGGCTTGGTGGTAAGCACCTTGGTTGGGTTTTCTAGATGTGAAGTGGTTGAGAGGTATTTGGAATTCAATTGTTGCATGGGGGGTTATGAAATGTTGGGGGGGGGCTGTTTTTCAATGTCGAATTGGGCAATGGGGGGTCAAAATTTCGCGATTTCGACAGTCGCGTCGAAATCGCGAGATTGAAATTCGTAATCTGGAAAAAAAAAAAAAAAAAATCGGGGCAGCCCGAGAAATTTTCGATCTGCGTCTTGCGTCTGGACGCGCGTCTTGCGTCCTAGCGTCCAGACGCTGCGTCCAGACGCAGGACGCAGCGTCCTCTGAGCGTCTTTCGCATCATAGTTGTGCACCACCTGCCAATTGTGCGTCACATACACCAGGTCACGAAGCTTCACCGCGCCGAGGCGGTTCCTCCTTGCCGTATGCACTGCATCAAACTTCGCCCAGTTACGCTCACATGGAGACGCAGACACCGGCTGCGTGATGGCGCGGCAAGCCATGGTGGTGAGCTCAGGATGATCGGTCCCGTGCCATGTCCACCAGTCCACCGCCGTCATCTTGCCCTCCTTCACTGCCTGGCGGTCGGCAATAGCGTCGGGCATGCCGAAGCTGCCTTGGAGGTTCAGGAAGGCATTGAGGCCTTCCTGGATGACGAGAGAGGCGCGGCGCTCGACCCCGTCCTTCCTGGTGACCGTCTTGTCACCATGGTGCTTGGAGACGTACTGCTTGAAGACCCTCGTGCACTCCAGGTCGGTGCGGAAAATGCACTCTTCCTGGTTGGTGGGGTAGAGGATGCGGCCAATCACATGCAAGTTGCACGCCAGCCCGTTGTCCCAGCGGTCCTGCACGATCTCCCGAATATCCCCCACCTCGTCGCTTGTCAGGACCCCTTCCGCATGCTCGTCGAGGAAGTCGCGGATGTCCTCGGTGAGCTGGAGCATGAGGTCGTAGAGACGACCCATCATGCCCTTCGAATCTGAGTCAGTCTTGCGCATGACGACGAATGGCAGCCTCATCAGCTTAGCGAAGAACTCGGCGCGCGTCCACCACGCGGCATCGAGGATGTTGTCTTTGAATGTGTCTGCCCCAGCCCTGTCTACAGCCGCAGTCCACTCGGCCCACTCATCGCTGAGGACCATCTGCGTCAGGCCGGCGCGCACTTCACAGAGGCGGTTGATGGCGATGTAGTTGGTGCCGAATCGGGTTCCCGCGGGCTTGAGAACCTGTTTCCCCTTGCCGCCGTTCACGAGCGGACTCCGCATGTATCCCCGGGTGAAGTGATGGTTGCGGACGAACGAGATGAGGGTGTCCCCGCGCGTGACGATGTCCTTCGCCCATCCCTTTTTCCCGATGTCCTCCATCAGGAGATCGAGGACATGGGTCGCGCAAGGGATGTGTTCAATGTGGGGATACTCGCGCATCAACACCCTGCATGCCGCCGCGTAGTTGGAGCCGCCGTCAAAACACAAGGCGACGACATTCTCGGGGCCGACCTTTTCGATGATGGGCCGCAAGATGCCCGCGATGTAGCCCCCGGTCTTCATCTCCATCTTCGTGTCGATCGACTCCACAAACACCGCACCGCTATCGTTGATGAGGAGCACGTTGGCTTGCGGGCGGCCGGCCTTGTCGGAGAACATGTCGCTTGCCACGGTGACACCGTCACGGCGCCAGCTTGCTGAGATAGGAGCGAGCGCCGCCTCAATGCGCTGGCGACACTTTGCAAGACCGGCGCCACCGATGTAGCGTCTCTTCGGCGCGACGTAATTCGGCCCCGCGCGCTGGATGCTGGAGACCACATTCCGCCACAGTGGGTGGTCCGCGTGATGCTCCGGCACATGAAGAGCGGCAAAGAAGAGGCTTATGGCCTCGTCCGCAGCTTGGTTCGCGCACGCGGCGTCGTCGCCGTAGAAGTCGGACATCCGACTCTTCTTCTTGTCCGAACCTCTGCCGTTGACTGCGCCGACCGCCGCAATTTCAGCCGCACGCTTCGCTTCACGGGCCTTCAACTTGGACTCGTAAAGCGCCTTCACGGCGTCACGTGCAGTCTTCGGCGCTGCAGTGCAGAGATGCACTTCGCGACGGCGCATGCCGTTCCAGCAGGTGATATGCTGCGCGCAACGGTGAACCCCGCCAACAAACGTGAAGTTGCAGTAGGCACACACCTTGGTGCCGTTCTCGCCAACGCTATTGGCCGGCACCTTGAAGTGACGGTAGACTGCGTGCTTGCTGTCCATGCAGACCAAAGACGTACTAGAAGAGGTCCCACCAGCGGAACTACCAGGAGACTCTGAGGGTGGCGTACGAGAAGTGGTTGCTGTAGGAGTGGAAGCCATGGTGGCTTGGGAAAGGACATAGCTAGGAAGCGAGAGAATGAATGTCGAGGGAACAAACGCCTCTCTTTATGCCTGGGAGATTGGGTTGGGTTGAGCTCCCAACCAGTAAAGTAGCACTTGGAGGGGATGGTGGAATGCTGTGGTTCAAAGGGGTGTGAAACGTTTGAGGGGAGGGGTTGATGAGGTTTGGTGCTCGAAATTCAAAATTTGAGTTCATTTCGCGACATCTGCGACTCGGAATTGAGATCGCCACGTCGCGAGCTTCAGATTGAAATTTTGTTTTTTTTTTTCGGTCTGCCCGAAATTCAACTCGGCGAATTTTCAAACTATACGCAACGTACGAATTCGACAAGCGTATAAACGCAAAACGCAAAATGAAAGTAGCGTATATTCCAACTTAGATGTGCTCCACCCAACCCATGTGCTCCCCCCACCCCATGTGCTCCCCCCACCCCGTGTGCTCCACCCACCCCACGTGCTCCACCCACCCCATGTGCTCCCCCCACCCCATGTGCTCCCCCCACCCCATGTGCTCCCCCCACCCCATGTGCTCCCCCCACCCCATGTGCTCCCCCTACCCCATGTGCTCCCCGCACCCCATGTGCTCCCCCCACCCCATGTGCTCCCCCCACCCCATGTGCTCCCCCCACCCCATGTGCTCCCCCCACCCCATGTGCTCCCCCCACCCCATGTGCTCCCCCCACGCCATGTGCTCCCCCCACCCCATGTGCTCCCCCGACCCCATGTGCTCCCCCCACCCCATGTGCTCCACCCACCCCATGTGCTCCCCCCACCCCATGTGCTCCATCCACCCCATGTGCTCCCCACCCATGTGCTTCCCCCACCCCATGTGCTTCCCCCACCCCATGTGCTCCCCCCACCCCATGTGCTCCCCCCACCCCATGTGCTCCCCCCACCCCATGTGCTCCCCCCACCCCATGTGCTCCCATCCACCCCATGTGCTCCCCCCACCCCATGTGCTCCCCCCACCCCATGTGCTCCCCCCACCCCATGTGCTCCCCCCACCCCATGTGCTCCCCCCACCCCATGTGCTCCCCCCACCCCATGTGCTCCCCCCACCCCATGTGCTCCCCCCACCCCATGTGCTCCCCCCACCCCCATGTGCTCCCCCCACCCCATGTGCTCCCCCCACCCCATGTGCTCCCCCCACCCCATGTGCTCCCCCCAACCCATGTGCTCCCCCCACCCCATGTGCTCCCCCCACCCCATGTGCTCCCCCCACCCCATGTGCTCCCCCTACCCCATGTGCTCCCCCCACCCCATGTGCTCCATCCACCCCATGTGCTCCCCCCACCCCATGTGCTCCCCCCACCCCATGTGCTCCATCCACCCCATGTGCTCCCCCACCCCATGTGCTCCCCCCACCCCATGTGCTCCCCCCACCCCATGTGCTCCCCCCACCCCTGGTGCTCCCCCCACCCCATGTGCTCCCCCCACCCCATGTGCTCCCCCCACCCCATGTGCTCCACCCACCCCATGTGCTCCACCCACCCCATGTGCTCCACCCACCCCATGTGCTCCCCCCACCCCATGTGCTCCACCCACCCCATGTGCTCCACCCACCCCATGTGCTCCCCCCACCCCATGTGCTCCACCCACCCCATGTGCTCCCCCCACCCCATGTGCTCCCCCACCCCATGTGCTCCCCCCACCCCATGTGCTCCCCCCACCCCATGTGCTCCCCCCACCCCATGTGCTCCTCCCACCCCATGTGCTCCCCCCACCCCATGTGCTCCCCCCACCCCATGTGCTCCCCCCACCCCATGTGCTCCCCCCACCCCATGTGCTCCCCCCACCCCATGTGCTCCCCCCACCCCATGTGCTCCCCCCACCCCATGTGCTCCCCCCACCCATGTTCTCCCCCCACCCCATGTGCTCCCCCCACCCATGTGCTCCCCCCACCCCATGTGCTCCCCCCACCCCATGTGCTCCCCCCACGCCATGTGCTCCCCCCACCCCATGTGCTCCCCCCACCCCGTGTGCTCCCCCCACCCCGTGTGCTCCACCCACCCCATGTGCTCCACCCACCCCATGTGCTCCCCCCACCCCATGTGCTCCCCCCACCCCATGTGCTCCCCCCACCCCATGTGCTCCCCCCACCCCATGTGCTCCCCCCACCCCATGTGCTCCCCCCACCCCATGTGCTCCCCCCACCCCATGTGCTCCCCCGACCCCATGTGCTCCCCCCACCCCATGTGCTCCACCCACCCCATGTGCTCCCCCCACCCCATGTGCTCCATCCACCCCATGTGCTCCCCCCACCCCATGTGCTCCCCCCAACCCATATGCTCCCCCCACCCCATGTGCTCCACCCACCCCATGTGCTCCCCCCACCCCATGTGCTCCCCCCACCCCATGTGCTCCCCCCACCCCATGTGCTCCACCCACCCCATGTGCTCCCCCCACCCCATGTGCTCCACCCACCCCTTGTGCTCCCCCCACCCCATGTGCTCCCCCCACCCCATGTGCTCCCCCCACCCCATGTGCTCCCCCCACCCCATGTGCTCCCCCCACCCCATGTGCTCCCCCCACCCCATGTGCTTCCCCCACCCCTCCCCCCACCCCCATGTGCTCCATCCACCCCATGTGCTCCCCCCACCCCATGTGCTCCCCCCACCCCATTTGCTCCCCCCACCCCATGTGCTTCCCCCACCCCATGTGCTCCCCCCACCCCATGTGCTCCCCCCACCCCATGTGCTCCCCCCATCCCATGTGCTCCCCCCACCCCATGTGCTCCCCCCACCCCATGTGCTCCCCCCACCCCATGTGCTCCCCCCACGCCATGTGCTCCCCCCACCCCATGTGCTCCCCCCACCCCGTGTGCTCCCCCCACCCCGTGTGCTCCACCCACCCCACGTGCTCCACCCACCCCATGTGCTCCCCCCACCCCATGTGCTCCATCCACCCCATGTGCTCCCCCCACTCCATGTGCTCCCCCCATCCCATGTGCTCCACCCACCCCATGTGCTCCACCCACCCCATGTGCTCCACCCACCCCATGTGCTCCACCCACCCCATGTGCTCCACCCACCCCATGTGGTCCCCCCACCCCATGTGCTCCCCCCACCCCATGTGCTCCCCCCACCCCATGTGCTCCCCCCACCTCATGTGCTCCCCCCACCCCATGTGCTCCCCCCACCCCATGTGCTCCCCCCACCCCATGTGCTCCCCCCACCCCATGTGCTCCCCCTACCCCATGTGCTCCCCGCACCCCATGTGCTCCCCCCACCCCATGTGCTCCCCCCACCCCATGTGCTCCCCCCACCCCATGTGCTCCCCCCACCCCATGTGCTCCATCCACCCCATGTGCTCCCCCCACCCCATGTGCTCCCCCCACCCCATGTGCTCCCCCCACCCCATGTGCTCCCCCCACCCCATGTGCTCCACCCACCCCATGTGCTCCACCCACCCCATGTGCTCCCCCCACCCCATGTGCTCCCCCCACCCCATGTGCTCCCCCCACCCCATGTGCTCCCCCACCCCATGTGCTCCCCCCACCCCATGTGCTCCCCCCACCCCATGTGCTCCATCCACCCCATGTGCTCCCCCCACCCCATGTGCTCCCCCCACCCCATGTGCTCCCCCCACCCCATGTGCTCCCCCCACCCCATGTGCTCCCCCCACCCCATGTGCTCCCCCCACCCCATGTGCTCCCCCCACCCCATGTGCTCCCCCCACCCCATGTGCTCCCCCCACCCCATGTGCTCCACCCACCCCATGTACTCCACCCACCCCATGTGCTCCACCCACCCCATGTGCTCCACCCACCCCATGTGGTCCACCCACCCCATGTGCTCCACCCACCCCATGTGCTCCCCCCACCCCATGTGCTCCACCCACCCCATGTGCTCCACCCACCCCATGTGCTCCCCCCACCCCATGTGCTCCCCCCACCCCATGTGCTCCCCCCCACCCCATGTGCTCCACCCACCCCATGTGCTCCCCCCACCCGATGTGCTCCCCCCACCCCATGTGCTCCACCCACCCCATGTGCTCCACCCACCCCATGTGCTCCCCCCACCCCGTGTGCTCCACCCACCCCATGTGCTCCACCCACCCCATGTGCTCCCCCCACCCCATGTGCTCCACCCACCCCATGTGCTCCACCCACCCCATGTGCTCCCCCCACCCCATGTGCTCCCCCCACCCCATGTGCTCCCCCCACCCCATGTGCTCCCCCCACCCCATGTGCTCCCCCCACCCCATGTGCTCCCCCCACCCCATGTGCTCCACCCACCCCATGTGCTCCACCCACCCCATGTGCTCCACCCACCCCATGTGCTCCACCCACCCCATGTGCTCCACCCACCCCATGTGCTCCACCCACCCCATGTGCTCCCCCCACCTCATGTGCTCCACCCAACCCATGTGCTCCACCCACCCCATGTGCTCCCCCCACCCCATGTGCTCCCCCCACCCCATGTGCTCCCCCCACCCCATGTGCTCCCCCCACCCCATGTGCTCCACCCACCCCATGTGCTCCACCCACCCCATGTGCTTCCCCCACCCCATGTGGTCCACCCACCCCATGTGCTCCCCCCACCCCATGTGCTCCACCCACCCCATGTGCTCCCCCCACCCCATGTGGTCCACCCACCCCATGTGCTCCACCCACCCCATGTGCTCCACCCACCCCATGTGCTCCCCCCACCCCATGTGCTTCACCCACCCCATGTGCTCCACCCACCCCATGTGCTCCACCCACCCCATGTGCTCCACCCACCCCATGTGCTCCACCCACCCCTTGTGCTCCACCCAACCCATGTGCTCCCCCCACCCCATGTGCTCCCCCCACCCCATGTGCTCCCCCTACCCCATGTGCTCCATCCACCCCATGTGCTCCCCCCACCCCATGTGCTCCCCCCACCCCATGTGCTCCCCCCACCCCATGTGCTCCCCCCACCCCATGTGCTCCACCCACCCCATGTGCTCCCCCCACCCCATGTGCTCCCCCCACCCCATGTGCTTCCCCCACCCCTCCCCCCACCCCATGTGCTCCATCCACCCCATGTGGTCCCCCCACCCCATGTGCTCCCCCCACCCCATGTGCTCCCCCCACCCCATGTGCTTCCCCCACCCCATGTGCTCCCCCCACCCCATGTGCTCCCCCCACCCCATGTGCTCCCCCCATCCCATGTGCTACCCCCACCCCATGTGCTCCCCCCACCCCATGTGCTCCCCCCACCCCATGTGCTCCCCCCACGCCATGTGCTCCCCCCACCCCATGTGCTCCCCCCACCCCGTGTGCTCCCCCCACCCCGTGTGCTCCACCCACCCCACGTGCTCCACCCACCCCATGTGCTCCCCCCACCCCATGTGCTCCATCCACCCCATGTGCTCCCCCCACTCCATGTGCTCCCCCCATCCCATGTGCTCCACCCACCCCATGTGCTCCACCCACCCCATGTGCTCCACCCACCCCATGTGCTCCACCCACCCCATGTGCTCCACCCACCCCATGTGCTCCCCCCACCCCATGTGCTCCCCCCACCCCATGTGCTCCCCCCACCCCATGTGCTCCCCCCACCCCATGTGCTCCTCCCACCCCATGTGCTCCCCCCACCCCATGTGCTCCCCCCACCCCATGTGCTCCCCCTATCCCATGTGCTCCCCGCACCCCATGTGCTCCCCCCACCCCATGTGCTCCCCCCACCCCATGTGCACCCCCCACCCCATGTGCTCCCCCCACCCCATGTGCTCCCCCCACCCCATGTGCTCCCCCCACGCCATGTGCTCCCCCCACCCCATGTGCTCTCCCGACCCCATGTGCTCCCCCCACCCCATGTGCTCCACCCACCCCATGTGCTCCCCCCACCCCATGTGCTCCATCCACCCCATGTGCTCCCCCCACCCCATGTGCTTCCCCCCACCCCATGTGCTCCCCCCACCCCATGTGCTCCCCCCACCCCATGTGCTCCCCCCACCCCATGTGCTCCCCCCACCCCATGTGCTCCCCCCACCCCATGTGCTCCATCCACCCCATGTGCTCCCCCCACCCCATGTGCTCCCCCCACCCCATGTGCTCCCCCCACCCCATGTGCTCCCCCCACCCCATGTGCTCCCCCCACCCCATGTGCTCCCCCACCCCATGTGCTCCCCCCACCCCATGTGCTCCCCCCACCCCATGTGCTCCCCCCACCCCATGTGCTCCCCCCACCCATGTGCTCCCCCCACCCATGTTCTCCCCCCACCCCATGTGCTCCCCCCACCCATGTTCTCCCCCCACCCCATGTGCTCCCCCCACCCCATGTGCTCCCCCCACCCCATGTGCTCCCCCCACCCCATGTGCTCCCCCCACCCCATGTGCTCCTCCCAACCCATGTGCTCCCCCCACCCCATGTGCTCCCCCCACCCCATGTGCTCCCCCCACCCCATGTGCTCCCCCCACCCCATGTGCTCCCCCCACCCCATGTGCTCCCCCCACCCCATGTGCTCCCCCCACCCATGTGCTCCCCCCACCCATGTTCTCCCCCCACCCCATGTGCTCCCCCCACCCATGTGCTCCCCCCCACCCCATGTGCTCCCCCCACCCCATGTGCTCCCCCCACGCCATGTGCTCCCCCCACCCCATGTGCTCCCCCCACCCCGTGTGCTCCCCCCACCCCGTGTGCTCCACCCACCCCACGTGCTCCACCCACCCCATGTGCTCCCCCCACCCCATGTGCTCCATCCACCCCATGTGATCCCCCCACTCCATGTGCTCCCCCCATCCCATGTGCTCCACCCACCCCATGTGCTCCACCCACCCCATGTGCTCCACCCACCCCATGTGCTCCCCCACCCCATGTGCTCCCCCCACCCCATGTGCTCCCCCCACCCCATGTGCTCCCCCCACCCCATGTGCTCCCCCCACCCCATGTGCTCCCCCCACCCCATGTGCTCCATCCACCCCATGTGCTCCCCCCACCCCATGTGCTCCCCCCACCCCATGTGCTCCCCCCACCCCATGTGCTCCCCCCACCCCATGTGCTCCCCCCACCCCATGTGCTCCCCCCACACCATGTGCTCCCCCCACCCCATGTGCTCCCCCCACCCCATGTGCTCCCCCCACCCCATGTTCTCCCCCCACCCCATGTGCTCCCCCCACCCCATGTGCTCCCCCCACCCCATGTGCTCCCCCCACCCCATGTGCTCCCCCCACCCCATGTGCTCCCCCCACCCCATGTGCTCCCCCCACCCCATGTGCTCCCCCCACCCCATGTGCTCCCCCCACCCCATGTGCTCCCCCCACCCCATGTGCTCCCCCCACCCCATGTGCTGCCCCCACCCCATGTGCTTCCCCCACCCATGTGCTCCCCCCACCCCATGTGCTCCCCCCACCCCATGTGCTCCATCCACCCCATGTGCTCCCCCCACCCCATGTGCTCCCCCCACCCCATGTGCTCCCCCCCACCCCATGTGCTCCCCCCACCCCATGTGCTCCCCCCACCCCATGTGCTCCCCCCACCCCATGTGCTGCAACCACCCCATGTGCTCCCCCCACCCCATGTGCTCCACCCACCCCATGTGCTCCCCCCACCCCATGTGCTCCCCCCACCCCATGTGCTCCATCCACCCCATGTGCTCCCCCCACTCCATGTGCTCCCCCCATCCCATGTGCTCCACCCACCCCATGTGCTCCACCCACCCCATGTGCTCCACCCACCCCATGTGCTCCACCCACCCCATGTGCTCCACCCACCCCATGTGCTCCCCCCACCCCATGTGCTCCCCCCACCCCATGTGCTCCCCCCACCCCATGTGCTCCCCCCACCCCATGTGCTCCCCCCACCCCATGTGCTCCCCCCATGCTCCCCACATTCTCCCCCCATGTCCCCCCAATCTTCCCTATTGGCCCCTATCCTGAGCTGTCTTCCTTTGCCCGCCCTCCGGCTCCCTGCACACTTTCCTCCGCCTCCTCTCTCTCTCCCTCGTTTCCCGGCCCGGCCTGGCTCCCCCCCCTCCCTCCCACGTTCCTCCCCCTCTCTCCCCTCCCCCCCCCCCTCCTTTCCCCCCGGTCCCCTTCTCTCCCCCCCTGCCCCATGCACAGCTTCCGCCATCTGGACCTGCGGCGGCCGCTCATGGCAGCCAACTTGCGCCGGCGCCACCAGATTGTGAAGACGCTCAGAAGGTTCCTGGAGGATGACCTGGGCTTTGTGGAGGTGAGATGGGTGGTAGCTAGCTAGGTGTCAAGGCAGCAGCGTACTGCTCATACAACTTCAACAATTCCTTCCTCCCCATGCTATCCTTCTGGCCTCTCAGCATTCTTTGGAACCTTTGGGTCAATGCACAAGTCACGCCTCCTCTCCCTCATTCGCTGTCCCCATCCTCCCTGCCTCGCCTTCCTCCTACTGCCCTCCACATCCGTACATGTCTCCCTGAATTTCCTGCCTGTCTGCATGCTCCCACCCACGACGACGCCCATTGTTAATTACCTGTCCGGTCGCTTCCCTGTGTACCTTGATCGTGCCCAACCTCTCGCTCTTGCCCTCCATGCGTGTCTGTGTGTCACCCCCCACCCCCACCCACCAGGTGGAGACGCCCATTCTCACGCGCTCCACGCCTGAGGGCGCCCGCGACTACCTCGTGCCGTCCCGCGTGCAGGTGGGGGGCACACAGGGGGTGTTGGGGGAAGGAGTGCAGGTGGGGGGCACACAGGGGGTGTTGGGGGAAGGAGTGCAGGTGGGGGGCACACAGGGGGTGTTGGGGGAAGGAGTGCAGGTGGGGGGCACACAGGGGGTGTTGGGGGAAGGAGCGCAGGTGGGGGGGTGGAGGGGGGAGAGCATAGTGCAGAGGGGGGGGGTTGTGTATGCGTAGGTGGTGATACGCTGGAAGGGGAGGAGAAGATTTGGTGTTGCTTCCAACCATCCATGCCTCCATGCCTCCATGCCTCCATGCCTCCATGCCTCCATGCCTCCATGCCTCCATGCCTCCATGCCTCCATGCCTCCATGCCTCCATGCCTCCATGCCTCCATGCCTCCATGCATCCATGCCTCCATGCCTCCATGCCTCCATGCCTCCATGCCTCCATGCCTCCATGCCTCCATGCCTCCATGCCTCCATGCCTCCATGCCTCCATGCCTCCATGCCTCCATGCCTCCATGCCTCCATGCCTCCATGCCTCCATGCCTCCATGCCTCCATGCCTCCATGCCTCCATGCCTCCATGCCTCCATGCCTCCATGCCTCCATGCCTCCATGCCTCCATGCCTCCATGCCTCCATGCCTCCATGCCTCCATGCCTCCATGCCTCCATGCCTCCATGCATCCATGCCTCCATGCCTCCATGCATCCATGCCTCCATGCCTCCATGCCTCCATGCCTCCATGCCTCCATGCCTCCATGCCTCCATGCCTCCATGCCTCCATGCATCCATGCATCCATGCCTCCATGCCTCCATGCATCCATGCCTCCATGCCTCCATGCCTCCATGCCTCCATGCCTCCATGCCTCCATGCCTCCATGCCTCCATGCCTCCATGCCTCCATGCCTCCATGCCTCCATGCCTCCATGCCTCCATGCCTCCATGCCTCCATGCCTCCATGCCTCCATGCCTCCATGCCTCCATGCCTCCATGCCTCCATGCCTCCATGCCTCCATGCCTCCATGCCTCCATGCCTCCATGCCTCCATGCCTCCATGCCTCCATGCATCCATGCCTCCATGCCTCCATGCATCCATGCCTCCATGCCTCCATGCCTCCATGCCTCCATGCCTCCATGCCTCCATGCCTCCATGCCTCCATGCCTCCATGCCTCCATGCCTCCATGCCTCCATGCCTCCATGCCTCCATGCCTCCATGCCTCCATGCCTCCATGCCTCTCTTACTCACACTCATGCGCTCTTTCTCACCTCCTTCCACCGCCGTCCATCCCTCTCATGCACTCCTCGTCCTATACCCCCCTACGCCATACACAGAGCCCACAGAACTGCCCCTCCTCCATCTGCTTTCACGCGGGCAAGTTGTACCCGTGACCGCACAGTCCACCGCGACCTCTCCCCCCCAACTGCTTCTTGTGATCCCTCCTTCGTCCCTCCCGGGGCAATTTCAA